ACAAAGTCCTTAAGGGTGCACGAAACTTGCCTATAACTGTGCTAGTTAAATGCACGTATGCTAGGTATGATTATGAGTCTACAAGATTTGAAGTTGAAGAAATTTTCAATGCAGTCACACAACGAGGTGGGAAGGTTTTCAATGTTTTTCTAAATGAAAGAAAATGTGAGTGTGGTGCTTTTCAGGCATATAGATATCCATGTTCACATGCAATAGCAGCCTGTGCACACGTTCGTATAGATCCATTAACTTTTGTTGATGCCGCATACACTAACGAATACATCAAAGCGGCATATTCAGGTCAATGGTTCCCACTTGGAAGTGAAGAAAATATTCAACCTACTAATGGACCTCGTATAGTTCCAGATGAGACAATGATACGTACAAAGGGACGCCCAAAATCCACGCGCATTAGAAATGAAATGGATTGGACTGAATCCCAAAGGAGGCAACGATGTGGACATTGTAGGCGTGAAGGGCATAATAGAACCAATTGCCCTGTGCTGGCTGAAGATGTATTCAATAACGCATAACAAGTTTGTATGTTGCAGTGTATTTAAAGAATAAAATTCCTCCATAGTTATATCATATGTCAATTCTAGTTTAATTAAATTGTTCAGTTATACAATAAAATAATTACAACAAAGTTTACAGTAACTATTAAAACAAATACAAATTACTTCTTCAACGTATTCTCGTCTTTCTGGAGCGTGTAACCAGCGTGGTCCGGTGGCATATCAACTGTCAAAAAAATTTAATATTAGTAAAGTTAACATTTAGGTAAATAATTAAATATCAAACAATGAATTAAGTTTAAGTACTAACAACTTATTATTCAAATTACCTATTCATTTCTCCTCATGTGCTGCTCATGGGGACTTAGGATACATTGTCGTTGTCTATGGCGAGCACCACGATCTGGGTTCCTCCGAACTAACTCATCACCATCTCCCTCAGGGCTTCCAGCTTCCGCTGCTAATGCTGTATTCAAATCATGCCCTAAACCTGGATGATGGGAAGACGAACCCCCACCATAAAATCCTCCTCCCATAAATGACGGCTGTCCAAATCGATAATCTCGATAATTCATCATAGGTGCTGATGGAGAGATCATGTGTGGAACATATGGAGAAGGTGTAAACTGGAACATACTACCAGCCGACATACTCGGGACATGACCCATCGACTCCGATGCTGGGAAATTACCTGCACCAGACATTCTTGCTGCGTCAAACCCAAAAGATGTGTCATGTGCAGTACCATACACATATTGTGTCACATCTGCATCCGGGGTCAATGTACTCGGATAATATGTCCCAATTGGTGGCTCAGTCGGAGGAACTGGTATCTGTAAACCCTGGTGTTCAACTCGCCTTCGCCGACGACTTAGTCCCTTTCCTTCTCATCGACCCGCCCCAATGTGCTCCACCTAAACTTCGTCTGCTTGTGGTAATGTTGCAGCTGCAGCCGGTGTAAAAGGGAAACTGACCCTGCTCACCTCGTCTCGCAACTGCAAGCAGTGACCGATGCTCTCATGCATCATGGTAAAATCAAAGGCATCCCTATGTTCTTCACTAGTGCCATGATACATGTGTTCTAGAACATCGGTCTACAAATAACATAACAAATATCATCAGTACACTAAATTTAAAAATATGTCACAAGTAATTATTTAAAAACATGCGTACATTTGTACTCACCACATATCCTTCCTTTGCAGTAGAAGGAGAAATCCATCGCCTTGTATGTTTCCTATACCACACCATGTATTCTGAACTATAGCTCAAGTGTGGTGTATCACACGCAGGTTGTGTCCATACACGATGATGACGTGACTGCCACTCCTGCACAAATTGAACGTGCATGCGTGACCAGTCCGTGTTATCCTTGCCTCTCAACGAAAGATCATGCAATTTCTCCGGATGAATAGGAGGCGCAGGAATGTGTTGGACCATCCCAAATTGTCGCATTACACGATCTGCATAATGATATTCGACGATGTGGAAATTAATCAACGGGACTGTTGACCTCCATACATGTGAGTCCTCCAAACAGTAAGGAGGTAATGTAGGTAGTAACTCCAAGTATGGTTGCCATACAAACTGCAAAATAACCAATCAATTAAGTACTTACGAATTATCATTTATAATCACAATTTTTTTATCAAAATCTTCAATATAATATTCTAATAAAATACTTACATCCTCTCTTTTTAAACGGTCAAAATAGTCTCTATACTTCACAATTTTTTCTTTTGTTTCCTCTCTAGGTTTATGCAAGGCATAATTCCACCTGTTATAAAAACAAAAAAACCATTAAATCTTCAATTTCCAAATTAATTCTAAATATATTTATTCTAAAATCGATCACAAGTAATACAGTTACTAACCTTGCCCCTAGAGGAACATGAAATGTAGATAAAGGTGGATGAGGTGGTGCAATCAATGGAAACCGATACCATGCCCATAATTGCAGTAAAATACTTGACCCAGCAATTTCCTTGTGATCATAATTCGTCGCGACACACAACTCCCTGTACATATTTGCCAGGACGCATGACCCCCAACTCATTTGACCACAAACATCTAGGTCTTCGAGGAAACTCAAAACATGAAGAGATAAGAGATAAGATAAAATATATAAATGAAATAAGCAGAAAAAAATGAAGAATTTCAAATTCTTACTTTTTTGGGAAAATTTGAAATTTTCTTGTTTCAAGAAATTTCATAAATGCTTGAATTTCAAATTCTTTATAAATTTTTCATCCAAACAAAGTATTTCATCACAAAGAATTTAAAATTCTTCAAATAAATGAATTACTCCATTTAAATTTCCCATCCAAACACACTATTACAATATTTATTTAAGTAATCAAGCTCTCAACTTAGGTATATTAAACATGAATGTTTTATTGTACAAGAGCTAGTTAATTTTGTGAATAAATCTATGCATCCATACAATAATAAAGATGTATTAAATATGTCTTTAACCCTTAAATTTAGGATAAATTTAATTTTTAATCTCTCAATTTTAAAATGGATCTTTGTAGTTCATTTAATTTCAAATTTTTTTTAATTAATCTTTTAAATCACCAATAACATATTTGAAATTAACAAATAAAAAAATATTTTACAAATAAATATAAATAAAAATAACAAAATTAATTATGAATGAGTTAAATAAATCAATGTTATATTTTTCTCAAATTTTAAACTACAGTTATTTGAACAAATAAGTTCAATTTGAGTGTTGTATTACTTCTGGGCATGCCATATATTTCATAAATCCCAACCATATCCATGAAGACTTGCCATTGTCACCTTAAGTGCAATAAAATGAATGAGAAGTCAACATTCCTAAGTGGATCTCCTACCACCAGAAATCAGACTTGCGTGTTTCATACTTGGTATCTGTTTTGATAAATATTTTTTTTATAAATTAAAATTATGTTATACATATTTTTTATTTATAGTTTTTTTAAAATTATTTTTAATTTATACATAAGTTAATTTTAGTTTATAGAAAAATTTAATTCAATGTTTCTGTTTATCTTTTTCTTTTAAAGTATTTTTTGAAAACTTTTTATCTAAATATGGTTTAGTATGTTGAGAATCCAAACAGGAAGCTGCATATTGTTTAACATCTGCAACAATTCCCTCTCATGAGAAATGGTAACTTATTCCATATCTGCATATTCCTTACCCATATGCCATATCTGCCCCCAAATCCCTTTTTATCACTCATCATATTTAGTTTTTCAAACTATAGTCTCTTAAATTTTAATACGTTAATTCACGGAATAATTAACATACACTCAGGTTCGATTCCTATTGATATTAAAATAATGCTTGTACTAGTAGGCACTTCTTCGGTCAGATAATAGGTCGAAAGGAGTGCCTGAACCGATAAAGCACCCCAATTAACACCCCTTCGGTAAGATAAAAGGTCGAAGGGGGTGCCCGAGCCGATGAAACCCCCTCCCCTTTCGGCTAAAGGTTGGGCCGAACACCTTAGCCACCGCCAAGGACGAACCAAGTATCCTTTCGGTGTTAGGCCAAGCAGCACTTCCTCGGCCTTGGGGTAGGCCGAACACCCCTTCGGCCCTGTACCTGGCCGAGGACTTCAACAAAGACCTGCTCATGAAAAGAAGTGAATACCCAACAAAAACTTGTGCCACGTCAGCATACATGGCGCCTGGGGTGGAGGCGTCTTCTAAAAAATGCCCACCCCCCCAGGCGTTTTCAATGCCACGTTGGCTCCTACGTGTCCAAAACTACCTATTTTGGTAATTACTTTTTTTTTAATTTTTTTCGTGTATTTTTTTTTATTTAGATGGGTCAAAAAGCCCTTTTCATTGCCCCCTTGTTCATTTCTCATTCAATATTTCTGTTCTCGCACTCTTTGTCTTCTCCCCTTCACCACCCCCCATTCCGATCATCGTTTCCATAGTCGTCGTCGGCCTATTCATCTCAAGGGTTTGTCTTAGTGGTTCAGGTACTTCTCCCTCGCTTGGCTTCTTCTCTTTTCGTGCATTTGTTGGGGCAACATTAATTAATATGGAGAGTGATAGAGAGTTGGATTCCTCTCCGTCACGTACCCATTTCGGGCCTCTGGTGGCATTCGACTCAGGGCGCCCTGCCAAGGGTAAGGGTAAGGTAGTAGAGAAGAGGGAGGTAAAATCTAAAGGGGTTGTCACCGGCAGTGATGATGGCAAAGAGAGGAAATAGGGTTGTAAATTCTTATGTTTTATTTTTCAAGTTTTATTTTCAATTATTTTGGATATTGAAGAACATTTATGAAGGTTTTTATGTGGACCCTCTTACCAATGTTGAAAAGTTTATTTCTTTAGTTATTTACATTATTACAATGTGTTGGGGGTAGTAAGGGTGTCACACTCTGCCTGCTCGGCGAGCGCATTTTTATGTCGGGTACTCCAACATCTTTTTTTTTCTACATGTACCGATGTCCTTTTAAAGAACTAGGTGTCTCCATTCCCTATACTCCCTTTGAGTGTGCATTTCTCAAAATATCAATGTAGCTCCTGGCCAACTTCACCCAAATAGTTGGGGATTTCTCCGAGCTTTTCAAGTTTTGTGCCCGAATTTAGGAATAGATGCCTCTTTACCGAAGTTCTTACATTTTTATCAGCTAAAGTTAGAGGATCCTCCTCTGGGTTGGGTGTCCTTGAGCGGTAGTAAGTTTGGAGGGTTATTCCAACTCTTTTCTCAATCTTATAAGAATTTTAAGAGAGAGTTCATCAAAGTCTGACCTATCAATTCCGACCAGATGTCCAAGAATCTTTTTCACCTCGGTGGGAAATTGAGGTTCCCTTTTTATTGGCAACAAAACCCTACTAAGTTTAATAGCTCCCAAGGTCTTGTTAGACTGCTTTCGATGAGGCCGACATTGATAAGCCACAATCATTACCTCGTCCTTTGAATATAAAAAAGCATATTTTCTCTGTCTAGCTCGAAGGATAAGGAGAGAAGTCTAGAAAGTGAGTATTTCACTGACGTTCCCAGTTGATTCTGTGCGCATGGTACTTATGTTATTTCTAACCAATATTTACGTTGTTGCTTCATTTTTCTTTCGCTTACAAGTCTGATGGGGAAAAGTAATGATGTGAACTTAAGGCCAAGTTTAATACCGAGGAGGCGAAGATTCCTGAGGTTGGCAAGGAAGATTCTTGTGCTCACTGACCTCGCCATAAGATAAGGAAACTTCCCAAGACCTCTGGGAATTTGGATATGGGGTTGGTGACATTGAAAGTTGCTGCTTCTTTGGTTCCCATTGATTTGATCAAGAGTCCTCCCCTGCTAACCCTGCCGATTGAGCTTAACCTAAAGGATGTTTCCCAAGGCAGTCGATTAGTGTCTTATCTTTTCTAGTAGGTATGTAATCATCCTCGTCCATGTTTTAGATTTATGCAATTGCTTCACGTCTTAGATTTGATAACATACATTTTTTATGTATTATTTCCATGTCTGCAGGATGTTCCGGTGAGCTCGATTGCCTTGGTTGTCAATGTTAAGGTCGATGAGGGAGCTACTCACCCCACCATGATGCCATCGGACTTGAAAACTACTCCTGCAACTCTGTCATGATGCATTCACCAGAGGTTCAACGTGAATCAACCTTTGGCTAGGTTGGACCACGTCAGCATGTTGCCGGATGTGACCTCCTTATGGAACCCTAATCTGACTGTAGAGAGTTTTTGCAAGGAGGACTTTGCATATGTGGCTGACAAAGCCATCATTGAAAAGGTGGGGCCAATTTAGGGGCTCAATTCTGCCTAGGTATTTATGCAGCAATCCATTGAAATAGTGAACCACTAGAAGCGCAAGTGGCAAAAGAGCCTGACAAAGTTGGAGAAGGCTAAGAAGGCATAGGCTGAGGTGGAGGGGGTGAAGAAAGAATTGGAAAAGATGAAAAATTCCTTCTTTGTCATTGTGAAAGCCAACGAGATTTACACTGGTAAGGTGAACGAGTTGCTGGAAAAGGTTAAAATTGTCGAGGTTGTGGTAGAAAATGTTAGGGTCCAAGCTCGTTCTCTCTAGGAAGAGAATGAGGTCTTGAGGGAGAAACTTCTGGTTGTCAAGGAGAAACATAGAAATAACGAGGCTCTTCTTGTTGCCCATGCTGAGGAGATTAAAAAACTAAAAATAGAGGCCAGAGTCCTAACTTCAGCAAAACAGGGTGTGGAGAAGGAGCTCCTTGAGACCAAATGCCACGTCGTCATTGAGCATAAGAAGGGTTTCTCTAAGGTAATTCATTAGGTTAAGGTACTTGCCCCTAAGTTTGACGTTGCTTCCTTATGTATTAATAAGGATGTTTGTAGCAGCCAATTGGTGGATGAGGATGACATTTTTGACAACACTAGCGAGGAGAGTGCTTGAGCATGCATCATTATTTTTCTAGTAGACTTTGCTTTGTTTTTGTGTTTTCATTCTTTTCTCTTTTGTTGATTTTCCTTTTGTCCTGTTGTATTTTTAACTCACATAATGAGTATTTATAGTTTCAACACATCTTTTTCTTTCGAGTTGCTTTGTTCTTTGTATTTGACTTGTGTCTTTTGCGCTTTGTTTGTTTGTACTTGCTCTTTCTATCCTCGCGTTTTTATCATATAAGTTTGCACATGTGGCTTTGGATCCAACCTGATTCATATATTGGTTCGAATTAGACCAAGTTAGCATGTAGTTTTAGGCATCAAAATGCCATGGATCTAACTCGACCAAGCTGGCATGCAAACTTAGGTGTCGTAGCGCCATGGCTCGAACTCAACCAAGTTTGCATAAAGATTTAGACATTAAAATGCCATGGTTCGAAATTGACCAAGGTGACATGAAAACTTAGGCATCGTGGCATCATGGTTCGAACTCGACCAAGTTTGCGTAAAGATTTAGGCATTAAAATGACATGGTTCGAACTCGACCAAGGTGACATGCAAACTTAGGCATCGTGGCACCATGGTTCGAACTCGACCAAGTTTGCACAAAGATTTAAGCATTAAATGCCATGATTCAAACTCGACCAAGGTGACATGCAAACTTATGCATCGTGGCACCATGGTTCAAACTCGACCAAGTTTGCATAAAGATTTAGGTATTAAAATTCCATGGTTCGAACTCGACCAAGTTGGCTATTGGAATAACACACTTATGGCTTCGTGCTCGGCCACGCAGTTTGTTAAAAATTAAGGGCATAAGCAAAGTGTATATGAAAAAGGAAATATTTTTTTAATATTTTCAAGTGTGCCTCATAAAAACCTCCATAACCAAAACCCTTTTCTTTACTCAGGAAAAAAGGCTGGGGTAGGAAAAAGAGTACATCACTTGAGCTGTATAAAGCATTAGCTATAATAGAATTTGAGGTGGGTGGCATTCCACGTCTTGCAAATAGCTTTGCCACTCAATTCTTTTAGCTGATAAGCGCCATTCTCTAGGTCTTCGATAACTCGGAAAGGTCCTTCCTAATTAGCCACGAGTTTCCCCTCCGTGGAGTCTTTTCTAGTTTCTCCTCTAAGTCACCACACGAGGTCTCCAACTCAAAACTTTCATGGCTTTATCTTTGAGTTGTATCTCCTGGATGCACGAAGCTTGCAGGCCTCTTTTTTGACTCGAGCTTTTTCTCTGAATTCATCGAGCAAGTCCAGGTTGTGCACCATTTCCTCATGATTTTGCCCCTTATCAAACATTATTCGTTGGTGATATGTCTCATCAACTTCAACAGGAATCATGGTATCGACTCCGTAGGTCATTTTGTAGGGAATTTCTTGCATTGTTGATTGCAGGGTGCAATGATACGCCTAGAGAACCCTAGGGAGCTTGTCCACCCGTTGTCCTTTAGCTCGTCCTAATCTTTTTTTCAACTCTCTAAGCACTATCTTGTTAGCTACTTCAGCTTGGTCGTTGGTTTATGGGTGCTCGACTGAGGTGGCTTGGTGTTTGATGCCGAGTTCCTGGAAGAAGTTTTCAAACTTTTGATCGATGAATTGTCTCCCATTATCGATGATTAGCGAGTAAGGCAATCCATATCGACAAATCATGTTTTTCCAAGTGAACCTTTGCACATTGTCGACGGTGATTTTTGCTTCGATCTACTTTCTGAAGTAATCGATTGCTAAAATTAGGAATTTAAGTTGGCCCCTAGCAAGGGGGAAAAGGCCAAGTAGGTTCATTCCTCACTACACGAAGGGCCATGGAGACTGCATTTGGTGTAAGGCTTCTAGATGGAGTTGATGTACATCTCTGAACTCTTGACATTCTTTGCATTTTTGAACATAATCTTTGTAATATGACTTTACTTTGGGCCAATAATACCCAACTTAGACTACTCGGGCGGCCATCGAGCGTGCACCATATACCTCTATGGATTTCCTCGATGAGATAACTGGCCTGAGACTTCGCCTAACATTTGAGTAAAGGAACTGAAGTGTTTCTTTTGAAGAGCTCTCAAGATTCGATTATAAATTAGGATGACTTATTCTTGATCTTTTGACCCTTGGCCTTGTCATCGGGTGGTGTTTCATTCTGAAGGTAGTTCCATATTTCAGTCATTTATTCTTTATCTTCAGCTTCATTCGTACAGAAAATATTAGGTTTGAGGTTGGGCGAGTTGATCATTTCTTGGATGATCATCTTATATTGTCCTAGGCGTGTCGTGCTAGTGAGCTTGGCAAGGAGGTCAGCCTTGGCATTCTGGTCTCGAGGTACATGATGGATTACGAACTCTTCGAACTATGATATCCATCGAGATGTCTCAAGGTAGTATCTTTGCAATAGGGGGTCCTTGGTTTGGTAGGCCCCGTTGAGTTGTTCTACCATAAGCTTCGAGTCACTGTTACATATCACCCTCCTCACACCAATGTCTTGTGCCAACCTTAGCCCAACCAACAACGCTTCATATTCTACTTGGTTATTGGTAGCTTTAAATCCAAACTTTAAGGATTGCTCGATGGAGATACTGTCTGGGCCTTTGAGGATGATCCCTACACCACCTCCCTTGGTGTTGGAGGATCCGTCCACGTGCAAAGTCCATACTTGTTCTTCCTCTTCCAAGGTTAGGGTGAGCTCGACGATAAAATTGTCGAGGTGTTGGACCTTCAAGGGACCTCGATTTTCATACCTGATTCTAAACTTGGACAACTCCACCGACCATGTAATCATGTGCCCGGCTAACTCTAGCTTTCTAAGTATTTTCTTAATTGGGTAATCTATCTTGACCATGATCTGGTGGCTTTGAATATAAGGTCGGAGGTGTCTGGCCGAAGTGACGAGTGCTAAGGCCAATTTTTTAATGGTCTGGTACCTCCTTTTTATGTCTTAGAGAACTCGGCTGATAAAGTAGATGAGGACTTGCTTTTTGTTATAGTCTTGTACCAATATTGCATTGATGACCTTCTCTGTACTGCCAATTATAGAAACAAGTTGGAGTGATGATTCGGCTTACTCAAAATTGGCAGGGTTGTAAGTAGGTTTTTGAAGACCGTGAAAACCTCTTCACATTGGTCATTCCATTTGAATTCTTTTGGTTTTCGTAGCAAGTTGAAAATAGGGCTTGCCTTCTCTACTATCTTGGGTGTGAATCTAGAGAGAGAATCTAGTCGTCTTGCCAGCTTTTGCACATTCTTAACAATCTGAGGGCTTTACATTCGAATGATGGCTTCACACTTTTCGGGGTTCACTTTGATTCCTCAAATAGTGATCATGAATTTGAGGAACCGACTCCCTTAGACACCAAAAGTGCACTTTTCAAGGCTTAACCTCATGTTTTGCTTCCATATTTGGCCAAATACCTCGGCTAAGTCAGCAACGTGTGACTCGGTTGAAATGGTTTTGATGACAATATTGTCAATATAAACTTCCTTCTTTCTCCCTATTTGGTGATGGAAGACCTTGTCCATCAATATTTAGTACGTCGCCCCGACGTTCTTGTGGCCAAAAGGCATTACTCGATAATAGAAGTTGGCCTAGTCAATGATAAAGGTTGTGCTTTCCTCGTCTAGTGGGTACATCATGATCTTGTTGTAATCGAAATATGTTTCGAGGAAGTTAAGGATGGCATGGTCAGAGGCTCTATTGACCAATCTGTCAATGCTATGCAGAGGGTAGGCTTCTTTTAGGCAGGCTTTGTTGAGGTCAGTATAGTCGACAGACATACGTCATTTCCCAATGTTTTTCTTTACTAATACCATGTTGGCCAGCCAGGTGGTATACATGACATCCTTGATGAACCCGACATCCAGCAACTTTCGAGTGTTGGTTGCCACAACATCCTGTCACTCTCCATCAATCTTCCTCTTTCTCTAGGCCACAAGTTTTGCCTCCTTATGGATTGCCAACTTGTGGCAGATGAGGTTGGGGTCAATGCCTGGCATGTCTGCGCTTGACCATGCAAAAAGGTTAGCATTCTTGGTCAGCATTCATTATTACCGGGGAATTTCATCGTTAGGTGCGGGGTTGACACTATGGCTTTGAGCTGATTTAAAGTTGGTTGTCCTATAATGATGTTATACGATGTGCTGACATCAACGAGAAAAAACTTTACCATCACCCTCTTCATCATAAGGGGTGTCCCAAATGTCATTAATAACTCCACATAACCTCAGGTATAAACATGCTCTCCTATGAAACCAACAAGAGGTTCAGAGTGAGGTTGGATAAGCTTGTGTGGGATGTCCAACTTTAGAAACATTGGCCAGTACAAGACATCGACCAAGCTCCCCTGGTCAATCAATGTTTTGTGGACCTCCAAGTTGGCTACGTCAATCGTGATGACCATGGGGTCATCCTGATTTGGATTGATCCCACTGTAGTTGTCATCCATGAAAGTGATGGGCGGGGTATTTTGTGAAATGCTCGCCGAGTTTATGCGAACATTGTTGATGTTCCGCAAATTTCTCTTGCAGGTCGAGTTTCTTATGCCACCTTCGACAAATCCACCCGCGAATGTGTTGATGATTCCTTGAAGGGGGCATGTCCCCCATCGTGGTTTGTATCTTTTTTTTAGCATTATTGTGTTGATGGGAGCCTTGAACACACCCTCTACCTTATCCTTGCCCTTGGTCTCCACCTCGGTGGGATTAGGACCACTAGACGTATTGTTCGAGGTGCCTAGCTTAGATAGGCTCCTCAATTTGGACCTTGAGTGATAGAACTAGTGAAGAACGATTGGAGATTCTTTATAGCTCCACCTCCAATGACCTTGCTTCTTGAGGTTTGACTCCTTGAAGATGGCGGAAGCAACTTGGAGAAGTCTCCAATGGTGGAGAAGCACTCAAAGAGGTTCGGTTACCTCTTGAAGTAGGTGAAGAAGCTTGAGGAACCAAGCTTCAAGGTGAAGAACCTTGAGAAAGAACTAGGAAAAGAGTTCTCACGGATTTGAACTCTTGAAAATGACAGAAATTCTAAATTATAAATCTCATAAATGTCAAAAGTGATTACAAGAGTAGAAATTAAAAATATATAGAGGTAGGTAGGTTAAGGAGCAAGCTAACCTTAACCATGGTTCACTAGTAACCATGGTATGGTTAGTTGACCT